AAGGCGGATCCTATTTACCAATTAGCTGTTTGGTAGTGATGTGCATTCCCATGATAGCTGCCCAGTCGTATACTACCGGCACGGGAGTCATTGTTGAGCCATCCCCACTGAACGTTTGGTTGCTCATCGTCGAGTTGCTATTTGCATCTCCACTAGTCGAATTCATCAAGGATTTGTTCGTTTTTTACTGGCCTGCTGTTGGTCGTTTGCACTGTGCCGCTCCAACGACTCCCAATAGCCAGTGCCTATTTTCTCCTCGGGTCGTACGGCCGGGTCAAAATTAATCAGAAATATACAGCGATAGCGTAGACGTGACACTGGCTCCAGTCGAGTTGGTTAAAGAGAGAGGGGGGTATCTCGATAGCAGGGAAACAGGAAAAATGTGAACATGTCCTCGACGAACAATTTATATGGAATGTGGCTTGATTGGAGATGAGACGGTTTATCAGCGACCCTGCAGTGACGGGCGCCGATTAGACTCCACGCGTTCTATACGAGTACCTGAATGTGATTCCATTTGAGTGGAGAAGATAGGTGTGACCATGATTGATAGAAAGTCTATGAGCTTGTCTCGATTCAGTTAATTGTGCGTATAGTATACAGAAGCTCAGGATCAAGTTGCCTTGGGACCCTTGCTTGCTAAAAGGTCACTCTCGGGGCATCATATCAAAATGCACCCTGTAACAAGCCATTGTTTCGATTGTGAGCTAGGCAGTATCAGCTAACCCTGCGGCATACTAAAATTGACGCGGCCGTACCATTTGACCTACATCCCCTGTGGCGCCGCCGTGCATCAGATAGTCTCTCTATGGCGGCATGGCCGCCAAGAGGTATACGTGTATGAACGACTTTTGAACACCGTACAGGCATACGAGGCATACGGCTTAATTCAGGGCTTGGAGGGTCTGGATTCAGTCTCCACGAAGACTATTACGAGATTTTCCCTTGAACATAGAGTCGGCAAATATCAATTGCTTTGTGCCCGATGCTCATTCCACTTTAGCATAATAAGCTGTCGTCGAGTGAGAACGGATCCTCTCGTCCCTTACAGCACTCGCTATGATCGCTCTTGCGGGGTATGATGCACTGTCCGTCCGCTATAGCCTCGACCAGTAAATGGCAGTGGAAATATTGAGCAAAATGAAGGAGGAATTTATCATGTCGCCATTAAGCTTGCCCTTGCCCCATTGCCAGCACAACGCCCCTTCGTCTCCCCCCCGGCCGTGTCACAACAGAGCCCAGGGAGTCCTTGTGACATCCATGGCGGCCTGGAAAGCTTAAAAAAAAAGTAGTTTTTTTAGATGTATATGTACTTACTGATATTAAATACCATCTCCGCTGTAAATCATCACGTGAGTTTCGACTTTTTTTTTTTTTTTGCTAAGTCCTTTGGGTGTGGGGGAACGCGTTGAAATGAACGCGTTCTACGATGTATTTTAGCTCATTAGTTGCGAATTCTATGAATAAAACAATTTGTATTAAACTATATACATACAAATACGCTAAAATTACCTGTAGGATGTCAGTGATGAGGCCAATGCCCGTAAATTTGGCTTCACTGGAACGAATAACGCGTTAATAAGCAAATCAATACCTTTATACTTACCTGTGGTGTGATATTGGTTCGCGTTGGATGCAAGGGACGGGGGCTGTGGACGCGACGATCGAGTGGTGGGGGAAGAGGTCGTGGTCGGGTCAAAATGGAGGCGTGTTTGGCACAGTAAGAAACGTAATTTTATTTATTTATTATGAATATTATTTATTTTACATTAAATATGGGGCGCCGGCCGAGGTCACGCGGACTTTTGGGGTCCGTTGTGACATGGCCGGGGGGGAGACGAAGGAACGTCTGCCAGCACGTAGATTGTGCCGTTTATTTTTGCGGAGTTTGAGTTGGTCTGTGACAGCTGCCACCAATGT